CCCCAGGTACTTATATCCGGTTACCCTATTTAATGGGGTACCATGTAACGCGATGGGAGGTAATATATAATCTTTGTTCCTAGATTTGAACATTAGGATTTCGCTTTTTAACATTGTACCTGAGGCCATGAGTCATAACATATTTCTCACATATAGTGAGTAACTTTCTGAGCCCCCCTACCGATGGGCTCAGTAACACCATATCGTCGGCGTAGCTGATGTTATTCTAAAATCTATGGAACAGCCGACTCCGCTGCCACTGAGCTCACCGATCAGACTATTCATGTATAAGTTGAATAGTGCGGGGGAAGACAATAAATATGAAACATGATTATGATAAATTGTGGGCTAGGCCACTTTTGCGCTGACGGCCTCATATATCACCATCCTGACTGGACCTAGAGCGAAGCAGTAATTCGTTCTATCTTGAAGAGTGGCACAGTCCTCAGTAAATGCAATTGAGATTTCAAGTTGTAGTTGTAGCGGGTTATCGCAGAACACAAGATATATGACAGATGTTTCTCGCTAACGACATTTTCAAGATAAGCTAGCATATATACAAGTTTTGAACATTATTATTCGAACCGACGGTCTGCCGGGAAAATTCACCCGCCTTGTGTAAGATCTTCTCTTTATCGTTAACTCTTAAGTAGTAGTTTAGCCGGGATATTCACCCGCCTTATGGAAGATCTTCTCTTTAACTTTTAAGTACTAGTAACCGATACATATTTGTTCGAACCCTAAAATTATAGTACGATAGTTATTGTTTGTGACAATAAATGACATCGCATATTGTTCTAAACATGATTTAGAGGAAAATTAACTTTGAACAACTAAATAAATACTATAAGAAAAACAAGTGTATTAAATTTAAAAAAAATAATAATTTACAATTACTGCAAGTAACGAGCAACGTCATTACAATAACAAATAGAATATATTATAAGCTTATTTCCATTAAAACAATCGATAGACTCGTTGAATGATAATAATTAATTGTTTGAATAGCAATCTATATATTAATACGTGAAGCAAAAACTTTGTATCCCTTTTTACGAAAATTGCGCGGGCGGAGGAGTATGAAATTTTCCACACCTATAGAGAATATAGAGAAGAAGTGCACAATGCTAATTTTTTTTTTAAATAATACATAAAAGATACACTAAATCAATAAAGAAAACAATACACACACTACATACCATGTATTTGAAGCACACACGCATGCATACTATTTATTGTCAAACTTTTGTTCTTGACGTGTGTTGTCAAACTGAGAATAGAATATGGTTTGTCTATTAATATTTTTTATAGTGTAGTCTTGGTGAAATTTGTGATTATAGAAGTATAAAATACAATCATAATAGTGTACAAACTTACAATTCCAATTAATTATAATCGAATTTCGACTAATGCGGGACCTCTAGTTAAAATAATAATGCTACCTGAAGGGTTGCGCTAGCAGACCATCAGGTATTTGTTTAATCAGCTTAAAGATTTTCTAGAACTACAAACATGAGCCAAGAGAAAACTAACTCAAAACCAAGTCGCTTAAAAATATACATAAATAGCGTCCGTTTTATTAACATCTTCGTGAAGGCTTTAAAAAAAAGTTTTTATGTATCGGTTTTTTCTTGGCTTTGATCTATTGTTTGCTCTTACTGATTAAAAATAATATAAAAAAACAAACATTCTAAATTCAAAATTCTGTGAATGTTTAATATTTCCAAAAAAAAATATTAAATTCTTTGACGTCGATATAATTTCATTATTTTTTTTGTATATTTATTATTCGAACAAAAGGTAATTTGTCACTAAACTTAGACGCACAATTAAAAAAATTTATATTTTTTACAATTGAATCGCTGAACTAACACACCATGAAAATAGTTGTCAGATTTCAGTGCCAAGTGAATTTCCGTAAAGAACGTTATTATATTACCACCCTTTTCAATTATGTTCTTGCAGATTTCAAAGATACATATTCGTATCGTAAATAGGTTGAGAGCGATCATGAAATGCGATTGTATCGGTGTTCGAATCACGCAGGCAGGTACATTTTTTTGCAAAGAAAATACGTACTTAGCATAATAATAATAATAATAATGTTTTTATTTCAAGTAACCATGACTCATACAAATTTTTAGTAAGACTTACACCTATGTTAGCAGTTATATTTACATCACAATGAATTACTGTCGTAACATCCCATGGGAGATGGCACCACAGCGACCCATGTATGCACAGTCCAGCCTGCTTGCGATCATGCTCAGGATACTGTTGGAGCTGGCCCTCACTTTGCTTACCAGAGATGCACACCTCTTACGCACGGTAGCGTAAAAACAATCTATGTGCGCGTCTGCAAACATCTGCATAATGTAAGCTAACACCGACATGCATTTATGCAAATATTATTTTCATTGTGCACTGTTAATAAAAAATACATATTTCCATCTTGTATTGCTTAAACTTTGTGATATATTGTGTGGTGGTAGGGCGTCTTTCGAGTCCGCACGGGTAAATACCACCACCGCCCTGCCTATTTCTGCCATGAAGCAGTAATGCGTTTCGGTTTGAAAGGTGGGCCAGCCGTTGTAACTATACTGAGAACTCATATCTCATGGTGGGTGGCGGCATTTACGTTGTTAATGTCCGGTAACCACTCAACACCAGGTGGGCTGTGAGCTCGTCCACCCATTTATGCAATAAAAAAAATAAAAAATTAAATAAAACATCATAACGCGAATTCCGCGACCCACTTCGATGGATGTATTATTAGCTCGTCTTCATTTTATATTTTATTATTGTATATTTTGATTCTGTTTCGTCCAGAATCTATACAGTTTTAAGTGGAGCCGAGCGGATTTTCGGTGAGTTATGAGAACTTGTTTCTTTCAGTTCTCTTCCAACTTATTAAAAAAAAAACTTATTAAAGCAAAAAAATACGCTTTTATAGAAAATCAAACACTATTTCTCTCTTTCTCAGCAATTTATTTAACCCTACATTGTGGTAGGGTCAGCTCTCCTTATTCCACTCCCTCCACTTCGCTCTGTTTTCGACATCCTCGTCAGCAATATTGCATTCCCTTTTGTCCTTCTAGTCTACTACTGCTAAACACTACACCTTTCCACCTTGACTTGGGTATTCCTCTAGGTTTCTAGCCGAGGAGGTCACAAGAAAATCAAAGAAAAAATGGAACATAAATTTTAGTTTAAAAAACACGCTTTCATAGAAAATCCAAGTAAAAAATAGAAAACAAATTTATTGTAAAAAAAAATCGTGGGGCTCGTGATGTCAATAGTTTTAAATATTTTATTGACAAATATGAGTTGAAGGAATGTCCTTTTGATAATTTATTATCTTAAAAAACACCGTAGCGTATAGCATATTAAAAAATGAGACTTCAGAGCTTGTGCCTCAAGGTAGGTGGCGCAATTACGTTGTATAGTGCCAGATGGCCCCCAGATTGTCGTTTAACACTAGGTAAAAAAAGCATAACCTGCAAAAGTTCAATTAGATAATCCAATAAGTAGGCTGAGTATGAACTTTGATTAAGAAGGTTCAATCATGATAAAAAACAACATACTAATTTTAGAAGTAGTTAATCCAATTGTAACGAAACTTAGTATAGCTGTTTTAATACTCCCGAGAGATTTTCTGCCATAGTACAATCAACAGGCAGTAGGTATCGCGTGAGTATTTTCAGAAGTTGATGTTTTTCATTAGCGATAGTCACAGTGAAGCTTACAGTAATAAATTCCATCCAAACATATATAGGGCTTAAGCTACGCCATCTAGTAGAATCGCAATGCAGGTATCATGTAAGTACTATAGCCGACAGATGGCGTTAGTTATAATGTCGGAACCGAACTGAAACGGAACTTTGAGATTAATGGGATTCGGACAAATCGGAAAGATATTAAAATTTAATTAATTAATTTAGTAAGAGCTCAATCTCTATTTTAACTTAATTTCAGCGAAGCTTCATAGTGATTTTTGGTCTAAGGGTATTAAAATAAATAAATATTTATTTCTGTCAGCCATAGATAGTGACCTTTTCTTGGTATTCGTAGATAGTCAAGTGAATGTTTTCAAGAGAGCGTGCTTTGGTACATGAAGTATAATGAAACACAAGTATATTGTTTTTATTATTTATTGATTTATTATTTTAACGAATCAAGTAACGTCAACCTTTATATTCGTGTTAATTTCTAACCGATACCTTTTCCGATAATTAATAGCACATCATTAAAAAACAATAATAATATATTGAAATAAAAATGATTTTTTTTTATATATTGAAGTCGCAACAGGAACATAAAATATATTAATAAAACTCACAAGAAAATTAGAAATAACTATATAACTTTTGGATGTCTGTTATAATATATCATTGGTGAAGTCAAGAACATTCTCTATTAATTAACAGATAATACTAGTCCAGATTGAATTGATCAGATATTGTGTACTACTACTAGAGATTGACTACTAACGACTAGTTGGTGACACTGCGCCAACTCCGGCAAATAGCATTTTATATCCTTCACCCCCAAAATTAGTAGCTAGTATCAAATTATTATTATTATTATTTTTTATTGCTTAGATGTGTGGACGAGCTCACAGCCCACCTGGTGTTAAGTGGTTACTGGAGCCCATAGACATCTACAACGTAAATGCGCCACCCACCTTGAGATATATAAGTTCTAAGGTCTCAGTATAGTTACAACGGCTGCCCCACCCTTCAAACCGAAACGCATTACTGCTTCACGGCAGAAATAGACAGGGCGGTGGTACCTACCCGTGCGGACTCACAAGAGGTCCTACCACCAGTGTGGATTTATGTGAATTTAATTGATGTATTTTAATTAAATTCGGTTTTCATTATAATTGTTTTAGTAAAAAAACAGTGTGTTCTGAGATAACAGTTTATATTAAATAGCCGTCCAAGGAAAATCAAAATATTTCAAAATACATGTAAATTAAACACGAATCCAACTTGAGACCTGAAATAGTTGAAAAATTAAAACGCTGTTTTCAATATAATATTCGAAATAATTAGCATTTATTAATAAAAAATGTTGTATAGATAAAACTATAAAATCTCATGTATGACTACATACATGACTAACAATGAAACTACAGATTAGAGATTAAACATTACAGATAGTGATTAGACATTACAGGAAGTGACAGTAGATCTAAATAAACCTTCAACATTGTTCTTATTTTGAAGGCGACGTAATATAAAATCGAGACAAGGATTTTTGTATTCATACATCTGTGCAATAATATTGCTCATTCAGATTATTATTATTTAACGAATTATTTTATGTATAATAAAAATTTCGATCCCAAACCGTATATCCCGAATTAACACAGATGGACATGGTCAAACTTGCTAGACTCTTAGATATTTCTGTGTAATTTCATTTGACATTATTTCTTTTATCATATTTAATTTCAAAGCTGTAATTTATGTTGGTTCGTAGGTTCGTGGAATGCACTAACAGAGGCTTTTTTGTGAGAAAAATATTTATTTCCTATAGTGGCGTCGGATGACAAAAACTTTAGCGGTTAGGAAGCGCGCGGCGTTCGTTGGTTTGGTCACAGCACTGACTTCGTTCGCCTCAGGTCACCAATCCGAGGCCCCCTCACCTCTCGTTGAACCCCGCGCACTCCCTCTTACAAATCTTGTTAATTTAAAACTAAGCTAAAAATTTGCTAACTTCTTTTAACAAAACGAATTCACCACACAAACAAACATACACCAAATATACCAATCACAGCTCCAAATTTATATTTAACGCATCGCTAACAAAAGCTATTTTGACGATGCTCCTATTATAAATGCTAATTGTAAATCGAATGATAAGTATTTTATTCAACATCCAAAGTCACAAATGTTATATTGTATGTAACTGGTCATGAATATTTGTCCTTGTAAAGAAAACAATTCACGAAGGTCATCCCGAAAACTTGACATCAACTTTCGGAACTCATTTTGTGCTTCAGTGTCTGAAAAAAAAACCATTCTTTTAAAGCTTCAAACGATTTATAAATTTAATGTTTTGTAATGAAATCCTAAGATGATGAGTTTCCGCCACACTTCTTTTCTGTCTTTGATTTTAATGTAAAATTGTGGCAAAATTTAATCATACTTGTAATGCTCTATTATAAGTAAATACTTAAAGCTACGCCATCTAGTAGAATCGTTACCTGAACTAGGATCGATACAAGGCCCTAATTCAAATTGCGGGCTGGCGTTCTCGACGTATGAGTTAACATCAGCGCTGCTCAAGTCTAGATTGTGGAGCCTGTGAAACACGGCTGTAAAGGTTACCCTTCCTGAAACAGTTATTAAAATATAAGAACAAACAACAAAACTAAAGTGTTAAATAAATAGATAAAAACTGTCCAAATAGCGGCATTGATTTTGAAACAAATCATTTCGTTTATAACAGTAAAACATATGTTAAATGAGCTGTAGAGGGCAGATCATTATCAGAATCAGCCTATGGACGTCGACTACTGGACAAAGGTCGCCCCCAAAGTTCGCCATTATGACCAATCCTGCGATGCCCGCATCCAGTGAACTCCCACAGTGAGTCTTACTCACGCAACGTCTTCCAGTGTGCGGTCACGGCTCCAAAAGTTTTTAGCCATATGTTATTATCTTCTTTTTCTTTCTTTTTTTATTGTTTCAATAGGTAGACGAGCTCACAGTCCATCTGGTGTTAAGTGTTTACTGGAGCCCATAGACATAAGTTCTAAGGTCTCAGTATAGTTACAACGGTTGCCCCAGCCTTCAAACCGAAACGCATGACTGTTTCACGGCAGAAATAGGCCGGGTGGTGGTACCTCACCGTGCGGACTCACAAGAGATCCTACCACCAGTAAAACAACACCAGTTTAACAAGAAATGCAATCATACGTTCAGGGATGTCCTAGCACCAGAACTAATGCGCTGTCACTAGCGAAGACACGAGTCTTGTGGAGAGTATTAAGCGGTAGGCAGCGGCTTGGCTCTGCCCCTGGCATTGCTGAAGTCCATGGGCGACGGTAACCACTCACCATCAGGTGGGCCGTATGCTCGTCTGCCTACAAGGGCAATAAAAAAAAAATAAAAAAAAAGAGTACTGCATCATACCAGTCCTATTCAGTATAATAATATATCCCATAATAAGGTGCTGTGAGATGTAGATGGCGATGAAAAAAAACACCTTCGTTTTGAAAGTTATTTTGCACGATCTATAGAGGCGGAGATAAATTAGAATTTACCGTATTTAACTTCCAAATAGTCGCTTCTTTCAATTGGCTCCTTNAAAAAAAAATAAAAAAAAAGAGTACTGCATCATACCAGTCCTATTCAGTATAATAATATATCCCATAATAAGGTGCTGTGAGATGTAGATGGCGATGAAAAAAAACACCTTCGTTTTGAAAGTTATTTTGCACGATCTATAGAGGCGGAGATAAATTAGAATTTACCGTATTTAACTTCCAAATAGTCGCTTCTTTCAATTGGCTCCTTAGCCTTCCTGTTGTATTGGAAAAGTGCATCTTCTGTATATAATCTCAAGGACGGTGTTTCTATTGCAAGAACTAGCTTTTGAGTTTCTGTATTGATACTAAAAAAATGTTGTTTATTAAAATTTGAAAGATTTTTTTTTTTTTTATTGCTTAGATGATTGGACGAGCTCACAGCCCACCTGGTGTTAAGTGGTTACTGGATTCCATAGACATCCACAACGTAAATGCGCCATCCACCTTGAGATATAAGTTCTAAGGTCTCACGTATAGTTACAACGGCTGCCCCACCCTTCAAACCGAAACGCATTACTGCTTCACGGTAGAAATAGGCAGGGTGGTGGTACCCACCCGTGCGGACTCACAAGAGGTCCTACCACCAGTAATTACGCAAATTATAATTTTGCGGGTTTCATTTTTATTACACGATGTTATTCCTTCACCGTGGAAATCAATCGTGAACATTTGTTGGGTACGTATTTCATTAGAAAAATTGGTACCCGCCTGAGATTCGAACACCGGTGCATCGCTCAATACGAATGCACCGGACGTCTTATCCGTTAGGCCACGACGACTTCAGCTCGTGAGTTTTTCTTTTCTTAAACATATATCGAGGGGTGAAAGGCTTAAGCGACATTTCACTTAATACGCGACCTTATCTTTGTAATTAAAGGTACATTTTATTTAATATTAACATCCACAGTTCGATATTTTTAATTGAACTCCTATTAAGCTTACTCCATTTAAATGGCTGGAAGTTTTTTTTGTTATGATTAGTTTCAAAATTTTAAACATTAAATTAAGCCTTTCCCCCTCGAAATATACATTGACACACAGAATAATAACTGAGTATCTTAAATCAGGACATCTAATACGTTTGAAGATAACTGAAAGAAACAAGTAAGAGCAGTGCTTCGCAGAATCTACCACCGGATCAGCAACGCGACCCACTGAGAAGATCCGGCGAGAAACTCAGTGGGCTGTGTCTGTGGGTTAGTTTAGTCACCGAGCCTTCGTCGCAAGCGACGGGTTCGACGAGAACGATGATCGGTAAAATCTTTATCTTCTTTCTTTCTGGGATGACATTGAAAATAAATGGATTTTTAATTATTAGTTGAATTATGGATGAATGAATGGTAAATTATATAATATTATAACTATGCACTGCACTAAAATTTGCATGTCAAATAATGACAAAGCATACACGCTGCTTTTAATTTATGTAATAACTCATTTTCACTATGCTTGGCGAATAAATGATTTCTTTCTTTCTTTCTTTCTTTCTTTCTTTCTTTCTTTCTTTCTTTCTTTCTTTCTTTATATACAGCACATTGCATTAAACTGATTTTTTAACGCGAACTCACTCAATGCGTTCTGCTCTAAGAAAAAAATTTCTTTCATTATTTCTTTACTTCTAAAAACACATTATTATATACTCATAATTTTTTTAAAGCCTGGAATAAAAATCACGTTCCATACAAAGCATCGTGGACTTACTGAAACATACTTACTAAAACTCAACAATATTGCCATTGAGCCCTCCAACATTTACATCACTGAAGTCTAAAGTTACATTTGAATTCGGGATATCCACTTTGTAATGACCGTAATACAGCGGATCCGGCACTGGTCCGTAAACTATTTGACATTGAGAATTTTTCGAGAAGTATTCTCGTATGCAGTCCAAGCCGAAATTCGGACACGGCACTCACTATGTTCGGCACTCACTATGTTCTTGGGGTCTGAAAATATTGAAATAAGCTTATATTTTAACTATAGAAAGTGTAGTCACCAACATAACGCATTCGAAGCATAATAGTTATAATGTGCACAGTGCGCCCTGTAAATATTAAAATCCTCGTGGCCAAAAGGATAAGACGTCCGGTGCATTCGTATGTAGCCATGCAGCGATGTTCGAATCCCGCAGGCGGGTACCAATTTTTCAAATGAAATACGTACTTAACAAATGATCACGATTGACTTGCACGATGAAGGAATAACATCGTGTAATAAAAATCTAACCCGCAAAATTATAATTTGCGTAATTACTGGTAGTAGGACGCCTTGTGAGTCCGCACGGGTAGGTACCACCGCCCTACCTATTTCTGCAGTAAAGCAGTAATGCATTTCGGTTTGAAGGGTGAGGCAGACGTTGTACTGTTAAAAGTGAGACCTTAAAACTCATTTTTCAAGGTGGGCGGCGAAATTTACGTTGTAGATGTCTATGAGCTCCGGTAACCACTTAACATCAGATGGGCTGTAAGCTCGTCCACATGGGTGGATGACTAAGCAATAAGAAAAAAGACTTCATACAAGAAATCAGCCATAGTTTTTTTTGTTTTAGCGCAGTTCACGGACAGATTATTCTTAACGAATACCTTCGCTGGCCTTGAAATATGGTGAAAAAGGTACCCTTAAAATAGGAAGGTACGAACTTTGTTGCGAATTTTAGCTCTAGGTATATCTTCTGTATCCCACCTTTATACCACATAACATTAACATTACATAGAGAAACGTTAGTTTCATTTTATTTTAAACTAGCTGACCCGGCAGACTTCGTAGTGCCTCAATCGATGAACAAAAGACCTAAGCTTTTATATAGAATAAACTTAAAACAAACAAAAGGAATCCGTCCGACGGGGGACACATCAAAGGGAAAACAAATTGTTATTTTTATTTAATTCCGAGCATTTTCATATGTATCTACCTTTTAAACCTTCTCTGGACTTACACAGATAATTTAAGACCAAAATTAACCAAATCGGTCCAGCCGTTCTCGAGTTTTAGCGAGACTAACGAACAACAATTCATTTTTTTATATATAGATAGATAGATAATCCATACAGCAGTCGAACCAATTTAATGATAATTCTTAAGAAAAAGCGTCATTCTCGATTAAAGTAATTATATTTGCATACCATCGGCTGGGTCCAGCTCTTCGCAAGGTGCAGTCTTTGCTGCTATCAAATTCAGGAGCGATGAAAGAAACAGGCACAACTTATACTTCATTTTTGAGAAATACACGTTTTCTCGAAAAACTTTTTCATATAAATACTAAAGTTATTATTATTATAATGAAAAGAAAACAGTTGACATTCGTCAGTCACGTTTAAACATATTTATCGTGTTAAGGGCGAGTCGTATTTCTTTTTATTACGTACTTATTTCTGCGGAGAAGTAATCCGCCTTCATAGGCTTAACAGTATAGTTAAAACTTGAAGCGCACATCTCAAAATGATCAGTTATGAACCTACGTCATTTTAGTCTGAGAAAATTTAAGGCATTTCAATGGTCTCAAGACAAAAATATACGTACACTTTCACGTTCATTAATCCATAATAATCGCTTCAGCACAATACCCGGCAAACTTCTTGAGCATTAGTTGACGTAGTGGGAGAAAGTTCGCGCATTGTACACTTAGGTGCAAAAAAATTATTTACTCTGCCTCATAATGTTGTTAAGCTGTTAAAAACAACATAATACTTATGTATTTATATCTTTATTAGAACATCCACAACAAATACAAATAATTGTAATAATTTAATCTTGGGGTAAAATGGACATTCCTTACATTAGGTCAAAATTATAGCTGGTGCTTGGTTCAGCTGAAGCGGAGATGGTATTTGTCATTGTTTCTTCGTTATCATAATCTTGACCATCGTCATCATCATCGTCACTGTTTTCATCATCCAAGTCGCTATTATCGTGATGAGTCGACATAGGACTCATCGGAGTAAGCTCCGATAGCTTATCCGATATCTTCCTTCTTGCCTATATTGAATTATTTTGAAGATGTTCGATCTGTAGTAATCGAATGTTACTTTTTTCAATTAACAGCTTCCAGTTTTTTTTTCTCCATCTGAACCTCCTTCCTCTACCTTACTCTTTCATAATTCGTCGAAAGTTTCGTTTCGAGCCATTAAAATTTATATCTTCTTTCAAATGTTTACGAAGCCTTTCTACGGTAGGGAGTGTGCTTTTTTGCTATGTGGTAATCATGATTACATCTTTTATTACACATTTGTCAAAACTATTGATTCCAGTGACTTTCTTCTTCCCTGATATTTTCTTACCCGGACAATGAAACACGAGTCGCAAGTCAGTGAGCAAATCGGAACCCTTAGTATCGTTAATAATACGCCTAACCGTAAAAAATAAATACTCAGAAGAGTGCGTCATTTTCGTCGCATGACGTTATATATAAATAATCAAGTACTTAGGGTAGATTTAAAATAAAGCAGTCTGCTTCCTTCGATCAATATCCAAAAGTGGCTGAGTGACTGGAGCGGTACTGTCGGAGTCGAACTAAAACCTCCTATCTATCACTCAATAACCCACGTCCGAACCTCGCATGAGTCAGAACTCACGAAAAGGCAAAGGAGAGAGAGTGAAGTTTTAGTGCGGAGGACATCTCTCCCATCACCCACAAGTCCTTATGGGGCCTTAAGTCTGCGCACGTGTACAAATCCACGAATAAAATTACTAATATATTATGTTCTCATACTCATACACTTCTTATCTTAATAGTTTCCTGTCGTGACTGAAAAAAAAGCAATTTAAATGGTTTAGTGTTCATAAAAATAAAATATTAAAAAATGTGCATGAAGACCATAACAATAATCGCAATGATGACATTATGTAGTCAGTTGCAATTACATTAATTGTCATACTGACGCAGTTGCTCTAAAAGTGTTTTTGCATACTATCAGATTTGAACAACTGAATAAGCAGTGTATAAAAACAATTCGCTCGCTTAATAAAAATAGCTATACCGAAACAAATTAAAAGAATTACACAATAAATAACTAAGTGGAATAATTACTATTTAACGACATTTGTTTAAATATTAAAGTAATTACGCAAATGCTGACGTCCCTTAAAAAAAAAACTATAAACCTGTTTACTAACGGATTAAATTGTAATTCTATAAGATTCAGAAATAGTGAATTTTTTTAGGAGAGTTAAATCTTAAATTATAATTTTTTATTGCTTATTTTTATTACACGATGTTATTTCTTCACCGTGGTAGTCAATCGTGAACATTTGTTGAGTACGTATTTCATTAGAAAAATTGGTACCCGCCTGGGATTCGAACACCGGTGCGTCGCTTCAACACGAGTGCACCGGACGTCTTATTTTTTAGGCCACGACGACGTTTAATTTACTAGAACTTTTGTATTGATACGTAAGTATCTGAAGACAGCGTCCGTGCGCTTGGAGTAGGCATCACGACAAGATAACCCCTCTTATCGACCCAGACCCAGATCGCATCGCATCGCTCGCCACCGGAGTAGAATTCATCCATACTACCAGGACCTACTGCGTTCATCCACAGTGTGCTTCCAGAGATCTTTCTTGCCACGTACCATTCAGCTTTGGAATGATCTCCCCCCCACGGTGTTTCTCGAGCGCTATGACATATCCTTCTTCAAACGAGGCTTGTGGAGAGTACTTAACGGTAGGCAGTGTATTTGCTCTGGCTGAAGTCCATGGGCGACGGTAACCACTCACCATCAGGTGGGCCGTATTCTCGTATGCCTACACGGACAAAAAATAAATAAATAAAACTCCGACCCAGGACAGGTGAGTAACCGCCATCACACCTTATTTTTTGTATCCTCTCGAGCCACTCTTGATCTTTTAGGCATTCCAAGAGTTCGACGTAGACAACCCACTATATCTCTCACAGAATCTTCTCAGTGTGCCACGATTCCAATCTGGTGAAAGATTCAGCGAAGCAATGCTCTTGCTAGGGCAAATGTTGGTAAATCCATTCTGACTAGATCTCCTGAGCTCACCCACCGGTCAAGCTGAAGCCAAAACAACCCTTCAAGGCTACTGGCCTATAAGTAGGCCAAAATAGGAGGAATTCAATGATACGCACGTACAAAAATTTATTTATTTATCGGGTTAGATAAATTAACGAAGTCGCGGCCCATCTAGTGAGTGATTACCAATAGATATAGCTCACAGACATCACAACATGATGGTACAATGCGATAGTTGCTGTCTAGCTTTTCAACACCAACGCATGATTGCACGACGGCAGAACTAGGCGGTGGTGCTTTCACGGGCGAGCTTATCATAAAAATACGACAAATAAAATTATATGGTAGTTTCACGTTTACTCATAAACACTTGTTGTCTGTAGCACTAAAATAATCAGTTTAAGCTGCATATTTTAGTTGTTTAGCTAATGTATTAATATCTAGAAGATCTTAGATAATTCTATAGAGTTACTATGAACTTATATTTTTCCTAGGTACATCTAATCCGAACTTCTTTGCTACAGAGATAGGCTGAATGGAATAGTAGCTACCCATGGGGCTTAATATATGCCCAGCCACTAGTGTGGTACAAAGTCTACCGTTGCTATATTTCTCAGCGTATGTTATTTATGTAACAATTTTTAATCACTCAGTGGTATATATTTTTTATTGCCTATATAGGTGGACGAGATCACGATCCACCTGGTGTTAAGTTACCGGAGTCCATAGACATCTACAACTTAAATGCTGCCAACTACCTTGATACATAAGTTCTAACTCTAATTCTAATTTTGCTGTGAAACTGGTGGTAATTTGAACACCGGTATAGTCACATCGATGACGTATTTAGGGCGACGTCGGCTGCTTACCATTCGGTCCACAGGATCGGGTAGAAACTCTACAGCGGGTAATCCAATTGTGTGCAAATACTTTTGACAAATGTATCGTAATTGATAAATAAAAAGAAACGCACACAATATAATAATATATTTCCTACCTATTTCTAGTAAACTCTAATGACCGGATGATTAAATATCGCAGACGAAAGCCATTTCACGGCCATTTAACGGCCGTCTGGTGTAGTGGGTAAGTGACATGGTCACTACACAAGGGGGTCGCGGGTTCAAATCCCGCCAAGGGAAGATATTTGTATGATAAATATAAATGTATTTTCCAGGGTTATGGATGTATATTAAATATATGTATGTGTATAATAAAAATTATCCGTTATCTGGTATCCGGCATTTATATCCGTTATCTGGTACCTGTAACACAAGTTCTTTATGAACTTATCACGGGACCAGTTAACGTGGCGTGATTGTTAGTAAATATTTATTTATTTATTTATTCAATAAAATACAAGAACTGATATTTACATCTACACCGCCACGACGACTTCAGAGTTTGATTGTTCTTCTTTGTTATTTTATCTAAAGTTTTCAGAGTTAAGTTCAAGGAAGACGAGTTTCATCATTAGTATGCTTAATCTAGCATATACAGGGTGTAACAGAACCGTTCACGGAGGCGGGTGTTATTTGCGGGTTTTATTTGTTTTTATTTCTTAGATGAGTGAACGAGCTCACGGCCTACTTAGTGTTAGTTGATTACCGGAGCCCATAGACATCTACAACGTAAATTCCACTTTGAGACATGAGTTTTGAAGTCGTCGTGGCCTAAAGGATAAGACGTCCGGTGCATTCGTATGTAGCGATGCACCGGTGTTCGAATCCCGCAGGCGGGTACCAATTTTTCTAATGAAATACGTACTCAACAAATGTTCACGATTGACTTCTACGGTGAAGGAATAACATCGTGTAATAAAAATCAAACCCGCAAAATTATAATTTGCGTAATCACTGGTGGTAGGACCTCTTGGGAGTCCACACGGGAAGGTACCACCACCCCGCCTATTTCCGCCGTGAAGCAGTAATGCGTTTCGGTTCGAAGGGTGGGGTAGCCGTTGTAACTATACTGAGATCTCAGAACTTATATCTCGAGGTGGGTGGCGCATTTACGTTGTAGATGTCTATGGGCTCCAGTAACCACTTAACACCAGGTGGGCTGTGAGCTCGTCCATCCATCTAAGCAATAAAATAAAAAAAGACGAGTTTCATCATCAGTATGTTTAATCTAGCATATACCGGGTGTAACAGAACCGTTCACGGAGGCGGGTGTCATTTGCGGTTTTTATTTGTTTTTATTTCTTAGATGAGTGAACGAGCTCATGGCCCATCCAGTGTTAGTTGATTACCGGAGCCCATAGACATCTACAACGTAAATTCCACCTTGAGACATGAGTTCGAAGGTCTCACTTTTAACAGTACAACGGTTTTCAAACCCCACCTTTCAAACCGAAACGCATTACTGCTCGCGGCAGAAATAGACAGGGTGGTGGTACCTACCCGTGCAGACTCACAAGAGGTCCTTTCGCCTCCTAAAACGATATCATCTAAAAATGACGATTGTGAATTTCATCTAGCATCGTATTTTTTTTCACATCGCCGCAAAGTAATGCTGCAATGTATATTACATATATTATTTATTTATTTTCATTTATAAATAGTTTTTTTTTTTTTTTTCCTACCTATGCTGATAGCCTTGAGAGGCTATTTCAGCTTCACCCTAAGCTGTGTAGGTGAGCTCACGGGGCTCAAACCGGAGAGTTGCTAACACTGACCCTAGCAAGAGCAGTGCTTCGCAGAATCTACCACCGGATCGGAAACGCGACCCACTGAGAAGATCCGGCGAGAAACTCAGTGGGCTGTGTCTNTAGTTTTAATTTTTTTTTTCCTACCTATGCTGATAGCCTTGAGAGGCTATTTCAGCTTCACCCTAAGCTGTGTAGGTGAGCTCACGGGGCTCAAACCGGAGAGTTGCTAACACTGACCCTAGCAAGAGCAGTGCTTCGCAGAATCTACCACCGGATCGGAAACGCGACCCACTGAGAAGATCCGGCGAGAAACTCAGTGGGCTGTGTCTGAGGGTTAATTTACTCGTCGAGCCCTTCGTCGCAAGCGACGGGTAAATATAAATAGTAGGTACGTATAATGTATTTTATGTTATCTGCTCTTTTAATAAGCATATTTGGATTTTCCTTTAATTATTATTCAACTAATGCAACTGAGGGCAGCCGTTGTAACTATACTGAGACCTTAGAACTTTTACTTATTTTTTTTAACTTATTTTTTTTTATAGCATGACATAATTTTTTTCGTATTTCTCTCTTGGCAGTTATTTTTTTTATGACCTTGTAACAGAGAGCTCTAGGTCATATCTTATTTGAAAAATGATCATTACTTTTCTGGGTAGTTAAGGTTTCAAAATACACAGACACGTATATATTTTAAAATTTTAGGTGTGCTTAAATATAGTTATTTTGATATGAAGCAAACTCAACTATCAACAACTGTCCAAATAGTGCAAACGTAGACTTAGGTAAATAAAAATCAATTTTACGGTTTACAATGATCGTGACGTGTAAAAATGACGTCAGTTAATACAGATGATATTGTAATTATAATTGGGTTCTCCGTCATACCATGTTAGGCTAGACCAGTGATTCTCAACCTTTTTTTTTTTGTTGCGGCACATATTTAACGATTTCAAAATTTGACGGCACACAAAAAAAAAGTTTTTCTTTTAAAAAGATATAATTTAATAATATTAACATTATTATATATTCGCAAAATTTGGCGGCACACTTTTGAAATTTGGCGGCACACAAAAGTGCCGCGGAACAGTGGTTGAGAATCATTGGGCTAGACCTATGCTTACCTTATCGTAGACAAAGAAAACAAAAAACGCATTAAAATTATTATTCATTAGTCCAGCATATCCTTTGCTATTTTATTTTTTATTTTTTTATTGCTTAGATGAATGGACGAACTCACAGCCCACCTGGTGTTAAGTGGTTACTGGAGCCCATAGACATCTACAACATAAATGCGCCACGCACCTTGAGATACAAGTTCTAAGGTCTCAGTATAGTTACAACGGCTGCCCCACCCTTCAAACCGAAACGCATTACTGCTTCACGTCAGAAATAGGCAGGGAGGTGGTACCTACCCGTGCGGACTCACAAGAGGTCCTACCACCAGTAATTACGCAAATTATAATTTAGCGGGTTTGATTTTTATTTAGACCTTATCTTAGACCTTAGAACTCATATCTAAAGGTGGGTGGCGCATTTACGTTGTAGATGTCTATGGGCTCCAGTAACCACTTAACACCAGGTGGGCTGTGAGCTCGTCCACCTATCTAAGCAATAAAATAAAATAAAAAATAAAGATTTTAGTTTCTTTTCAACACCTTGATATGGTTAGCAATTCAAAAACAAATCTTTAATTTATCTCTGGGCTAGTCAAGAAACATTTTTACTGGTAGTAGGGCTTGTTGTGATCCCGCACGGGTAGGTACCAACGCCTTGCTCATTTCTGCCGTGAAGCAGTACTGCGTACTATCAAACCTAGACTTAGAACTCATGTCTCGTTGTTGGTGGCGGCATTTGCGCTCCGGTAACCACTTAACATCAGGTGGGTCGTGACCTCGTACATCCATCTAAGCAATAAATAAATAAAAAATCCTTTACATTTGTATTACCAAGGTTTGCCATAAACAGGATGAATTACGGTTAGTTTATGGTATATGAAACCAAAATTAAATTTTAATTCACAATAATAAATAAATAAATAAATAAATATTTACTAACAATCACGCCACGTTAACTGGTCCCGTGATAAGTTCGTAAAGAACTTGTGTTACAGGTACCAGATGACGGAAATAAATGTAAGATTTTTTATTATACATATACACATATTTAATATACATCCATAACCCTGGAAAAGACATTTATATTTATCATACAAATATCTTCCCTTGGCGGGATTCGAACCCGCGACCCCCTTGTGTAGTGACCATGTCACTTACCATTACACCAGACGGCCGTTGAACAATATGTGTTTTTTTTCTGTTTATTAGTTATTTACTATCCCAAAATATATGAATACTATTATTTGTTGAAACTACATGTTCGCCACCTTAGATATGTGGAGGCTACTATGATTGAAGCCTTCCCTGGTCCTTTCCCCAGCGACTGTATAGGTTTTATTAATCTATCCATTATCCGAGTATATTATTCAGGAATGCATAGAGAACAAACACAGAAAGAAACGTTAATTTTTATTAAAATAAAACATAGATGAAATGACACATAAATTACATAAAATTTTAATTCATTTTCTTTAAGACGCTAACTCTAATCCAAAGTCACAGATATCGTACTGTATATAACTGGTCATTAAAATAGTTCCTTGCGCTTCAAATACTTCTTGAAGACTAACCGCGATGTTGTTCAGCAGCTTGCCTAACTGACTTTGTGTCTCAGAATCTGGAACAATTAACTTAAGCGTATATTACAGCATCGGCCCAGTAATTGTATCAAAAAATGTAAGTTAATGACGGAACAGTATGTGACACCAAAGCATTTTACTGAGGGCCAGACGCAGCCTCACAAGTCATATTTAATTAAACCAGTTAAACCCAAGAAACTTTGGAGAAATAGACAGATAAAAAGGTTTTTTTTTTCATGTTACACCCATTCCCCAAATAAATTTTTTTCCTACCTAAGCTGATACCCTTGAGAGGCTATTTCAGCGTAACCTTAGCTAGTAGGTGAGCTCATGGGGCTCAAACCGGAGTGTTGCTAACACTGACCCTAGCAAGAGCAGTGCTTCGTAGAACCTACCACCGGATCGGAAACGCGACCCACTGAGAAGATCCGGCGAGAAACTCAGTGGGCTGTGTCTGTGGGGCATTCCCCAATGCGGCTTATTTCGGTTTTTTCGATAATTTCTGCAAAGATAATAAAGAAGAAAAGATGGTTAAAGCATACCTAGACTAAACGATAGAAGAGGTCCTAAAATGAATTTTGGATTGATTTCATGGACGTAACTAAAAACTTCAGCATTGCTCAACTGTAGGTCGCTAATGCTCGGAAATACAGCGGTAAACGTTAGAGTTCCTGTAACAATTAAATTTAGTGTTAAAATCATCCTGAATCATTTGTGTTGTTTTATTTTCATTATGATCAAATCAAAGAATCAGAGATTAGCATCATCATCAATCGCTGAAACCATAACTTTTAAATTCATAGATTCTCGTTATGGTATAGATTTTCTTTTATCATTTCTAATTTACCTTTTGATAACACTAATTTCATCAAAAGCTATTTAACACAAAAAAAGAAAAATTCGTTTAACAAAGAGGAGAAAATTGTACTAAAATATTTTGTTTTTGCATATTTAAATGTAAATCAATTGTTTTTACCATAGTCAACTTCCAATGCGTCACTTCTTACAATTGGCTCTTTGGCTTTCCTATTGTATTTGAAAATTGTTTTCGGCGAAGCCAATTTTAAGGACTGCACTTCTGCTGCTAATACTAGTTTTTCAGTTTTGCTGTTAATGCTAAAACAGTAAGTTCTTCGTAAAACATTTACAGTGGGGAAATTCAAAAGCTCACACACGAAATTTGATTTCCGTGTATTAAGGAAACTACAGACTGGTATAGTATACATACTTATACACGTTTATAGAAGTATGTATTATATTTGAGGTGATGTTGTATATCGGGTCGCAGTCACCTAATAAGGAATGTGTAAAAATTAAAGTCAATTGGTAGCTAATGATGTATTGGGTCGTTTCCATTTTTGGGCCAAAAGCGAGATATTTGATTTAATTCTCATAACCTTAATGTTACGGTAATTATAAGTACAGTAAATTTGTTGTCATTACAACAGGTACGTGGTCCTATAACTACCTAGTCTTGCCATAAATACTGAGAAAAGGAAAAAAAAATCTATTGCAAATAACATTTATTACTTTTACACTGTGTTAGTTTAATACATAAATATAAAACAATTTAAAGTATAAAAAGCTAATTCGAAGTGGTCTCCATTGGTTGCAATACAATCCTTTAAACGTTGAGGCCAGTTATCAATTGAAGCACGCACGCTTTCCATGGGAATTTTTTTCACTGCCAATCGTAGGAATTGTTTTAGGGACTCCAAATTATCATGGCGTTTAGAGCAAGCCGTACTCTCTAAAACTGACCATAAATCATAATCCAGTGGGATCGGAACTAGACGACGGCCAGTCTTCAGCTCTGATGAAGTCCGAAACGTTCGATTCCAACCAAGACTGCGTAGATCGAGCTTTATGACCTGGCGCCGAGTCTTGCTGGAAGGACCATTCTTGATTATTGAACATGGTGTTGTTAAGGGGCTTCACTACCTTCTCAAGAATGGTATCTTGATACACTTGTGCCAATGTTTTGATACCTTTTTCACAAAAGTATGGCTCAGTCACTCCTTCATAGCTAATACCTCACCAAACCATCACTGAAGTCGGATAGTGCCCACGTTGCACTCTGTCGACTAATTGGGAAGCTTCCTTAGAGCTTTGAGCATAAATACGATCATTTTTTTGTTAAAATGTTGCTCAATTGTAAACATTTTCTCATCCGTAAACAAAGTTTTTCTATGACCTCCCTTTGCGTACCGCTTCAGTAGTTGTTTCGATTTTACCACCCTATTCTCTTTTAAATTATCAGCTAAGAAATGACCAGTACGTCTCTTATAAGCTGCAAGTCCTAAGTCATCTTTTAAAATACGCGACATGGTTCTAGGTGCTATCTTCAGTTCCCGAGATAAAATCTTTTGCTTTCGGACAAGATTTCTTCGAATTCTTTCCCTTACTGCTTTGACCACCTTTTTCGTACGAACACTACATAGACAGCCAGATCTTTTTCTGTCTCAAACAGAGTAGGCCTCCTTGTACCTATTAATAGCCCGGTACACAAACATTTTGCTAATGCCAAGCGTATGGAGGGTTTTAAAAATTGCATTTGGTTCCATACCTACTTTGTGTAATGCAATCACAGCGATTCGGTTCTCTTTATCACCCCACTCCATTTTAAAATCGCAAAATATTGTACAATGTATAGGCGCAAAAATGAGAAAACTCAATGAACAATCATATAAAAATGACAGATTCCAAATTCCAATGTAATATTTTGTTTATTTTTAATTGTAACAGTATTTATGGCCAGACTAAGTATATACTAGTATACTGTTGTAACTATACTGAGAACTTAGAACTTATATCTCAAGGTGGGTGGCGCATGTACGTTGTAGATGTCTATGGGTTCCAGTAACCACGTAACACCAGGTGGGCTGTGAGCTCGTTCACCTATCAAAGCAATAAAAAAAACATGTACATAAACAACTATAATATCAATAGCTAAGTAGGTATATACACATTAAATACCCCGAAACTAAGTAAGCAAACCTGTTTATCACACGAAAGTTTTGTCGAAAGTGGGAATGACGTGAAATGATAATACTTACTAAAACTCAATGATTTTAATAGTATCGAAGCCTCTGGTTTTAACATCATGATATTCTACGGTTAAATTACTATTCGGTATATCTACTCTGTAGTAACTTAAAGGTAGTGGATCTGGTACAGGTCCCCTTACTAATTGACATTGAGAATTTCTTGAGAAATATTCACGAATGCAGTTCAAGTCGAAGTTCGGACAGGGTCTTTTGATGTTTTTTGGGTCTGAAATCATTTGAAATTTAATTAGTGTTTATATTCACCGTTCCTTTGTATATTCTATTTACATAATCGTCATTGGGCAAAAGATATAATTATATTTTTGCTTTTGCGTCGCCATTTCGATGCTTTCATAAAAGACTATGTATTATTTTCCACAGAAGCAAAAAGCAGTTTAAGTACTTAACAGTTCTAAGATGTCTATACTTGATACCTTAGAACTTATATGTCAAGGTGGGTGGCGCATTTACGTTGTGGATGTCTATGGGCTCCAGCAACTGCTTAACACCAGGTACGCTGTGAGCTCGTCCAGCCATCTAAGAAATAAAAAAATATATATATAGGATTTTTTCCCGTGTTACGCGTGCCGAAAACATATCTACAAGAACAAGTACTTGTCTTTAGTAGCTCCGTCCGAGAATCGTAACTTATTACTTGTGTTACTGGAGCCCATATGCCACCCTTGAGACATACGGTCGATAGTCTTGATATTGAATAAAAAAAAAAAGAAACATATATTTACTGACAATCACGCCACGTTAGCAGGTCCCGTGGTAAGTTCGTAAAGAACTTGTGTTACAGGTACCAGATAACGGAAATAAATGTAAGATTTTTATTAAACACATACATATATTTAATATACATCTATAACCCTGGAAAAGACATTTTAATATTATTCATACAAAATATCTTCCCTTGGCGGGATTCGAACCCGCGACCACCTTGTGTAGTGACCATGTCACTTACCACTACACCAGACGGCCGTCAAAGTTATTACACCAGTGTGCTTAGTGCGAGCTTTTTAACGTTCTCGATAGCGTAAAAGTTAACTCAAATTTGAATGGAGTTGCAATGATTGCTTACGCTTGCCGCTAGGGATGCTCTTCCAACTGTATACGGATTTGAGTTAAATTTTACGCTATCGAAAACGTTAAAAAACTCGCACTAAGCAAAGAGAACGTAAAGCTGATTCGCGTAGAAAAGGTCACCAACATCCATCATGTTACTTAATTTACTAGTAATGAACTGAAACCAAATTTATTGGAATCACAATCCGCCCGGACACACAAAGAGCACTGATTTTGAATTTGATTTGATTTTGAAATTTTTGCTAAACATCAACTTCGACAACAATGACACTTCCTTCGGCAGTGAAATGATATTATAGCTGACACTGTTCTAAAATTCACGTCTGTGGCTTTAAATTTTGATATTAAAGCTGTTCTCCGAAAATGTTTTAGAATTTATAACTATAAAAAAAATTGTTACATAGAAAAACTTTGGCGCAATTAATTGGGTTTTTTTTTTTATTGCTTAGATGTGTGGACGAGCTCACAGCCAACCTGGTGTTAAGTGGTTACTGGAGCCCATAGACATCTACAACGTAAATGCGCCACCCACCTTGAGATATAAGTTCTAAGGTCTCAGTATAGTAACAACGGCTACCCCACCCTTCGAACTGGAACGCATTACTGCTTCACGGCGGAAATAGGCGGGGTGGTGGTACCTACCCGTGCGGACTCCCAAGAGATCCTACCACCAGTGATTACGCAAATTATAATTTTGCGGGTTTGATTTTTATTACACGATGTTATTCCTTCACCGTGGAAGTCAATCGTGAACATTTGTTGAGTACGTATTTCATTAGAAAAATTGGTACCCGCCTGCGGGATTCGAACACCGGTGCATCGCTGCACACGAATGCACCGGACGTCTTATCCTTTAGGCCACGACGACTTCTAAATTGCGGATTGCGTAATAAAATACCAGAATTTGTTATCATATAGAATATCTTCATACCATCGGCCGGATCCAAGTTCTCTCCAAAAGCAACAGCAGAAGCGATCAAACCCAAAACTGAAAGGCACAGGCACTGTTCAAACCACATTTTGAAGAAATAAATGATTTCTCGACAAACATCTCCTCATATAAATACTGCCATTTTAATTATTGCGTCATAACAAATTTTTGGTTATCGCTGCTGTTATATAATGTTGCATATTATTTCTGTGTTAAGGTTGAACGGTTTTGAATAGAATATTTTTATTTTAAATTTAAAGATCTTGCACTGAACACAATCTGTCCAATGGAACAAGGATAAGTCATTCAACATGGAATACAAATAAGGAAACGCCAGTCATTTTACACTTATTCGACCGCTGCTTGTACTAATTGTTAGCCCAGTTTCCTAAATTATCTTCTTCGCTCTCAACCCTTGACTCAATTCCCCTCCCTGTACGATATTCAGCAAAGTTGCATGGCTTAGTAACACCAATACTCACGGTTTGAATTGGGTAATAGGAACATGCGCACTGGCTTAAGCCCGTTTTCTGGCCTCGTCTTGCTCTATTGAGTTAGGTTCCACTCGAGGCTTGGAAGCAAGATGCTGACAGGGGTTTGAGTGGATTCAGCCCAAATATACACTTATGGGCCCTAATGCCTACGCGGAACTATAGAGATTTCATCCAGATCCAATAAAAATGAACAGTTAGGCGTTGTATTCCATTGTATTTCTATGATTCCTACACTAGTATCGGGTACGTCTTCATAAAACAATCGGTGCCCGTCTGCCGGTTTTGAACCCAGACATAGGCCTATTGTACAAGACGTACATACTGCGCTTCTTAACTTTTAGACCAAGATCGACTCTTCTGAAGCCCACTGAGTTTCTCGTCGGACCTTCTCAGTAGATCCGGTGGTAAATTATAGGAGATAATCTTCGCCGCCAACTCCGCTTCCAACTTATTAAGCTCGCATTTGATCCTGGGACAACGAGTTGTCGGCCAGTGCCTCCTCAGGCCCCTCTTCTACCTCTGGGCCCACCGCTGGGTACAAGCGTCATCGCCTGGTCGATCGCTCCTCTGATGGAGTCGACAAGGCGGACTGCCGCATCGTCGACCCCATCAGGGGTGTTGGGGTCCTGAATTACGGGAAGGTCGACTAGTCGTCTCTTAAAGAGCTCCCAGTCGACTTTCGGTCGTAGGGGCGAGGTCGCAACCCGGGTAAGCCCCATTCCCAGTGTGACGAGGATAGGGAGATGGGGGGTACCCAGGTCGTACAGTGCCTCGATCGTTACGGGGCACCGTAGCCCCTTAGCGCGGCGAGGGAGGGGGCAGCGAACCGGCGGAACGGTGCTAGCTCCGCGTCGCGTAAAATACACAACCACCTTCGCTTCTCAACGGGACTCAACAGCTACAAGACGCACATTATGTACAGAATTACTTTCACATTAAAAACCTAAAATAATTTAATAGTATTTCATAATTTAACGGCTGAAGTCACAAACCACCCAAAATGTACAAAGGAGATACAGTCTGAAAATCACAATCAAGAACAACACTTAACTTTTAACCTTGGCCGATAACTCTTGGTCAATATTTTTATAATCAACTCACAGTGCATGTCATTGTATATTATATTATACCTTATCAGAGCTCACCTACATAAAATTTATTTTAACATGTTTTATTGGAATCGATTTTTCTGTGTCCTCTTCAAAAACTTTTCGCTGTGACATTTTAATTTATGTGGCACGTTACTTTAATAGAATTCACAAAACTACACATTTACTTAGTCGGTAATAATGTAATAAAAAATAAGCAGTGAAAAGGGAGCGGCTAAGACCTCTAACTCTGTAAATGCAGGGTCTATATTCAAAGCTTTATGTTCAATAGAAAGATTGAAGCTTCTACGTTATTCTCAGACTTAGAGTCGAGCAGAGAGATTGTATTGTATCTTTATGCACCTTAATTATCTAACCTAACGGGTTTTATTAAACACGCAATCAAAAGTGTTTAGTGAAATTGACAGAATATACTTTCTGCCTATCCTTCAACTAAACAAATAAATATTCTCGATGAAAAATTTACTCCTCCTCCTCCTCGCGTCGTTTCCTCACTGCTGAGGGCTATTATATGTCGACAGGATTTTGCTACTTGTAATGTCCCGCCAGCGCCTCCGATCATTGGCCGCATGAAGGGCGTCGTGGAATGGGATCTCTAGTGTGGTCGGATTTGGTCGAACCACCTTGTCGGACTGCGCCCGCGCGGTCTCTTTCCTTCAATCTTCCCTGTCACGAATAGTCTCTCTAAGCTATCCGGTGTTTTCCGAGCAATATGACCGAAGTACTCGAGTGCGCGGCGAAGGCAGAGTGTAGACAGTCTAGTCTTGATCTGCAGTTGATCTAAGATAGACAGATTGCTTCTGCTTGAAATTAACACCTGAAACGGTGCGGGGATTTTTAACTTTCGACTTTGAGACAGACATAAGAGAACAGTAAGGCTATATTATTATTTTTTGTGTATTATCAAATTATCATTGTATCTTTACTTGAGGTGCCTGTGAAATATTCCACCTACACTTCGTCGGTTGAGGTTCGGTTGTGCCTCTACGAGTATTGATGGGGGACTATAACCACTCTCTATGAGAAGTGTCCTAAACTAGAAGACAAAACGTTAATAAAAAATCAAAATTATATAATAATTGTACTTTTTACATACAAAATACGTTATTTGTGCGTGATAAGAAAATAGAGATAACCTTCTCTTCAGGTTTGTTGAGTTCGGTTTTTGTTCGTTGGTTCGTCATTTTCTGAATAATTTTCTAATTTCTACTAATTTACAATATGCAATATCGGTGAACTTATAATATGCTCTACTACCGGTAAATACTAGTTGGAAATCACAGTACGCTATATTGCGCGACATCCACCCGCGGTAGTCAACAACAAAAAACCGTAAAAGTACAAAATATTGGAAAATATAACACATCATCATCATTATCCTGCCCTTCTCTCAGTCACCTGGGGTCGGCGCAACATGTTTTCTCCTTCCATACTCTTGTATCATATACCATTTCTTCGCTCACTCCCCTCTTACCCATATCGTCTTTCACACAATCTATCCATTTCTTCTTAGATCTACCTCTTCCTCTACATCCTTCCACATTCATAGTTAACACTCTCTTACCAACCTCATTTTCATTTCGTCTCATCACATGTCCATACCATCCCAAACGCGCACTCCTCAGCTTCTCTGTCACAGGTGCCACTTTCAGACTTCCTCTAACATATTCATTCCGTATTCTATCCATTCTCGTTACTTCACATATCCATTGCAACATTCGCATCTCTGCTGCATGCAATCGCCTTTCACACATCCCGTGAACCTTTTACTGGTGGTAGGACCTCTTGTGAGTCCGCGCGGGTGGGTACCACCACCCTGCCTATTTCTGCCGTGAAGCAGTAATACGTTTCGGTTTGAAGGGTGGGGCAGCCGTTGTAACTATACTTGAGACCTTAGAACTTGTATCTCAAGGTGGGTGACGCATTTACGTTGTGGATATCTATGGGCTCCAGTAACCACTTAACACCAGGTGGGCTGTGAGCTCGTCCACCCATCTAAGCAATAAAAAAAAGCAAATATAAAAAGTAAAATGTAATAATGGTAGGCTGTGAAATGTTAGATTAATTTAAATTTGAATAACTCATAACAACTAATTTATTATACTTATTGTATTGTTTCGCGTTATGCTGTGTTGGAAAGGTTTAAAACTTTTTAATTCTCAACACCGATCCCGGGCAGGCGCGAATTACTTTAGAAGTATGCTAATCTGTTTTGACGAAGTTAAAATTTAGGTTCACACTGTTCCGCCGAACTTTCACCGAAACGCTTCTGTCTGTTTGTGGTTGAATTTAATTCTCTTCTTTCTCTGTTTTCTCTGGAGACCGATTATCGTAACTTATATTATTGAAAATAGGAAAAAAAATGTATTGAAAGCAAGCAGGTTTAATAGAGGGGCTAGCCTAGAATAGAAACTCGTCTATTCATTCATTTATTTGGGAACAACATTTATTTACTGTATTATAATAGCACCTAAATCACAATTTCAAATAGCACAATTTCAAAAAAAACATGTTATAGCAACGAAGAACTTAGAACTAGAATAATCTAAAGTCGAAGATTACAAAAAGAATCTTGTTCGTCTATAAATTAATGAATAGAAATTCGTTCTAGTCCCTCTTTAAAGCTTGTTTGATTTCAACACTTATTTTTCTTCCTTACGTAATCGTTGGTAACCTCGAGCGGCTACGTCAGATTTGGGTTGATGATGATGGGTTGCATAGACCCAGTGCATTCACCACCAAACTAATCTATACATATGACTATACTGCTCTCTCTTCGACTGCCCGAGTATCGTGTCCCCTCTTTATGATATCCTTCCAAAAGACATCCCCCGGCCTATTAATATTAAGTATCTATTCTAAAGATTTTATTTTTCTATTAGTTTATTCTAAACATGTAAATATTCTATGTCAATTTTTATCTGCTAATAATATTTAGCTTTAAAGTAATTAGTCTAACATATTTTTTTGTGATGTTCTTAAAATCACAGATTCGCATTTGGAAAAACTGATCAAATTTATTTGTATTTAGTTTTTTTTTTCGCTCTAAGCACCTATCATTTTTGTGCGTACTGTGACATTGACAAAATCAATGCCAAAGGCCTCGGAGTCGAGTTTCTATAAAAAAAATATAACTACACTTATTGAATATGCAATTTCGAAAAGGGCACATCTCTGAAAATGTAAAATGTTCAGGAAATGAAAAAAATTGATTATTTTCTAAAGCAGTGTATAATTTAAAATATTATCTTTTGAGATATATTTTAGTGTTAATTAGCAATTGGAAATTACTGGAATTATTATAAAATGGGTGTAGGTAAGCCTCAAAACTACATGTATATGAAAAAACGTATTTGACAAAATATGCGACATGTGCCCTTTTCGAAATTGCATATTCAATTATACGCCGCCGGATCGATCCACTCACAAATATTGTTTTACACAAATCGCAGTAACTAATCATTTAATTTTTAAATTAATACTTCAGCTATAATTT